ATTAAATCCGATGGTAGGGATAGTAGTAATGACTTCTCTAACCTGTAATCTGTACAAAACTGTGGCTTTTCCTGCTCCAAAAATTAAAATTAAAATTCTCATTTTTCCAAAAATGAGAATTCAAAAATTAAAATTCTCATTTTTCAAGTTCCAAACAGACTGGAAAAAATACTTGAGAAAAAGCCACCCATGACGAAGCCCCTGTCCACCCTTGCTGATCCTCAGAGACGGGCCCCACCTCAGCAGCCATTCCTGTTCAAGTCCTGTCGCTGCCACCTCTGCTGGCCTTGGCCCCCAGCTGCAGCTCAGAGGCGGCTTCTTAGAAAGCCTGGTCTGCCAGCAGGGGCGGGCTCAAGGAACTGCCTATTTTTTTTTATTTCCATAAATTTAGGGGGTACAAGTGGCTTTTTGTCACATGGATGAATTGTATGGTGGTGAAGTCTAAAACAATATTGATTATCTCACAGTATCTGTGGTCTGAGAGCCTGAAATCAGTGGTTCTGGCTCAGGGTCTCTCATGAGGCGGCAGCCAGGATGTTGACAGAGGCTGAAGTCATATGAAGGTTTGGCTCATTCACGTGGATGTTAGCAAAAGGCTCAGTTCCTCACTAGGTGGGCCTCTCACAGGGTTGTCTCGGGGCATGACATTCCTGTCCTCTGGGAATGGGCCCTTCAGGAGACAAAGAGAGTGAGACAGGAAGTCAAAGTAGCATCTGTGACTAGTCTCCAAGTTTGCACACGAAGACTTCCACTTTATTCTATTCTCCAGAGACAGGTCATTCCATCCAGCTCACACTCAAGGGCAGGGCCTCTTCCTTTTGAAGGGAGAAGTATCCAGAAAAAATAATGAACACTTAAATCCCATACACTAGGCCGGGCGAGGTGGCTCACACCTGTAATCCTAACTCTCTGGGAGGCCTAGGCAGGAGGATCACTCAAGGTAAGGAGTTTGAAACCAGCATGAGCAAGATTGAGACCCCGTCTCTACTAAAAATAGAAAAAAATTAATTGGCCAACTAAAAATGTATAGAAAAAATTAGCCAGGCATGGTGGTGTGTGCCTGTAGTCCCAGCTACTCGGGAGGCTGAGGCAGGAGGATCGCTTGAGCCCATGAGTTTGAGGTTGCTGTGAGCTAGGCTAACGCCATGGCACTGTAGCCCAGGCAACAGAGTGAGAGTTTGTCTCAAAAAAAAAAAAAAAATCCCATACACTAGATGTGTTCCTGAGACTGCTGTAACAAAGTATCATAAACTAGGTAGTTTAAACAACAAGGACTTATTGTCTCAGATTTCTAGAGGCAGGAAGTAAGTCCAAGATCAAGGTATCAGAGCAGGGTTTGTTTCTTCTGAGGCTTGTGGGAGAGAATCTGTTCCAGGCCTCTTTTGCAGCTTTTCGAAGCCTTGGGCGACACTTGGCTTGCAGATGGCCACCTTCCGCCTGTGTCTTCATGTTGTTTTCCTTCTCCACGTGCCTGACTCTGTGTCCAAATTCCCTGTTTTTATAAGGGCTAGTGTCATATAGGATTATGGCCCATCCCAATGACCTCGATTTAACACATGGTTACCTCTGTAAAGACCCTATTTCCAAATAAGGTCACATAGAAGATTTGGGGGTTAGGACTGTAACATCTTTTGGTGGGACACAATTCAACAAGATAATGGTGATGCTCTTACTCTGGTCTAATCTACTCTCTGGTTACACTGATGAGAAACGTAGGATTTCATAAACTACACGAACCGCCGAGTGTCAAAGAATGAGTCTGTGGCAGGAATTGGATTAGAAATCTGAGTGCTTGATCCATAGTTAATTCACTTTTCATAAACCACCCAGTGTTTGATCGTCTTTGGTCCAATGTTCACTGGAGATCTGTGGGACTCATTAACCTTTGTGTTTTTCCTAGGCTAAAGACTTCCATATTGATCCACCAAGTTCTGTAATTCCAGGGATGCTTTCTAGGAATCCTTTAAAGGTGGAAGCAGGGGATCAGTTTTCTGGGGCCTACATAATTCAGAATTTAAGCTATGCACACTGGAGGGGGAAGACAGAGAGAGAAAGTGGTAATGGAGACAAGAATAAGGAAATGAGGTATGAGGAACATAGGAAAAAAATAACAATCGTTCCAGTTTACACTCCTGCCACAGCCTGCCACACTATTCAGTGTGAGTCAGAGTGAGATGGAAGGTGAAAATCAACTCTTTCTGTTAAATTTATATATAACATATTTGTAGTATTTCAAGAAGGATAACAAAATGCACACCTGTGGATCCACCAGTCATCTAGAAATAAAGAACATTGTCAGGGCATTGGTGGCCTGTACCTTCTTCTTGGTATCTCTCTCCCTCCTCCCAGGAGTATTTACTATCCTGAATTTTATGTTTATCATTCTCTTGCTTTTCTTTATGGTTTTACTACACAAGGATAAACTCTTAAACAATATCTTGCTTAGTTTTGCCTATTTTTGAACTTTATGTAAATGGATCCTATTGTGTGTGTGCATCTGTGATTTCTCATTCTTTGCTTCCCTTAGTGAAACTCATCCATGTTCAAACATGTAGCCGATGCTTATCCATTGCCACTGCTGTGTGATACTTTCTCACCCATCCATCCATTCTCCTGTCCATAAACAGGTTATTTTTGTGGTCACCAAAAAAAAAAAAAAAAAAATTTCTAGGGACATTCTTAGAAATGTCTCCTAGTACTCTGTGTAAGACTTTCTGCAGGGTATATACCTAGAAATGTAATTGATAGATTGTGGGTGTGCTCTTATTAAGTTTAGTAGGTCGTTGATTAGTTGGTTGGTTTCATGAGGTTTGTACCAATTTAAACTTCTCTCAGCAGCATCTAACAGTGCCTGCTACCCATACCTCAACAAAACTTTATGTTAGTCCAACATGCTGACTCTCCTGATGTTTACCTTACAAGCTGACTTCAGAACCAAACCCTCACATTAGGCATGACCCCACTATATTGGACTTTTGATATCTAGGATGCCTCATGCCCACCGCTTAATAAGTGCTCAATAAATGAGAAAAAAAAATGAAAGGAATCTAAGCTTTAGCCATTTGGTAAACTACAGATATTTTTTTTCATATTTTAAATGTTTATCAGCACATTACAATTTTTCATTCTGTCTCCAAATTATGTACCCAATGTCAACCTATAGCAGAGTATTTGTTCCCAAACTCAGAAGCTACCCAGGAAATTTAATGCAGTAAAACAAGTGTTGCCCCTAGAGGTGGAAAATGTACTTCATTTGCATTACTATAGAGTCATGCATGGCTTAACAGTGGGATATATTCTGAGAAACCTGTCCTTGTGTGATTTTGTCATTGTGTGTCATTGTGTGATGTTTGTATAAGTACACATCATACACTTGATCTTAGCTATAAGGCTCAGAAGTGATATGTAAGTACACATTATAGAGTGGACTTACAAAAACCTGGTTGGTACAGCTGACTACACACCTAGGTTTATATGGTATGGCCGATTGCTCCCAGGCTACAAACCTATATAGCATGTTACCACACTGAATACTATAAGGTAACTGCAACACAATGGTATTTGTGTACTTGAACATAGCTAAACATAGAAAAGGTATAATTAAAAGTAAAATTATGGTATAAAAGATAAAGAAGATACACCTGTATAGGACACTTACCATGAATGGAGCTTACAGGACTGGAAGTTGCTCTGGGTGAGTCAGTGAGTGAGTGGTGAGTGAATGTGAAGACCTAGGACTTTACTACTACTATAGACTTAAAAAATACTGTACACTTAGGCTACACTAAATTTATAAAAACAATTTCTTCCTTTAATAATAAATTAACCTTAGTACACTGTAACTTTTTACTTGATAAACTTTTCAATTTTTCAAACTTTTTGACTCTTTTGTAATAACACTTAGTTTAAAACACACTTTATGCAATTGTACAAAAATATTTTCTTTCTTTATATCCTTACTCTCTAAGCTTTTTCTATTTTTTAAAATTTTTCATTTTTATTTTTTACTTTTTAAACTTTTTTGTTAAAAACTAAGATGCAAACACACAACTATGCCTAGGCGTACATAGAGCCACTATCATCACTATCACTGTTTTCCACTTCCCATCTTATCCCACTGGAAAGTCTTCAGGGGGCAATAACATGCATGGAGCTGTCATCTCCTATGATAACAGTGCCTTCTGAAATACCTCGCGGAGGACCAGCCTGAGACTGTTTTACGTTAACTTCTTTTTTTATATATGTAGGAGCACATTCTAAAATGATGATAAAAGTATAGTATGTAAATACCTAAACCAGTAACATAGTTGTTTATCATCAAGTATTATGTACCATACATAATTGTATGTGCTAGACTTTTATATGACTAGCAGTGCAGTAGGTTTGTTTACACCAGCATCACCAGGAACACGTGAGTAATACAGTGTTTGTTCTCTCCAGTATGTGTAGCCTGTGCATATACAGTTAAGAAAATGCAAGAGTGAGGGCTTGGGAACGTAGAGTGGTTTGGCCGCTGCTGGGGCGGGGGTCTCGACCTGGATCCAGTAGAATGTGGGAAGTTAGAGAGGAGGGGAAAACCCATGCTAGGAAGCAGGCTGACAGGAACCAAGGCTTGGAGACCATTCGAGCAGGAAAGAGGACGCGCCTGAGCGGACTGGTGCCGGAGAACTGCAGGGAGGGAGGTGCGGCTGGGTGCGCAGCCAAGGTTCAGGGACAGCCCACTCGAGGTACACCAATGGGCGTGGGAAGGAAGGGTTGGTTAAAGAGCCACGTGGAAGCGCATGCCAAAGACACCAGGAGAACAACTGAATCCAATACGTGAAGACAAGAGGCTAAACTCTATGACTGACTAACTACTCCGCCCACTTTGGGGTCAACACTGGCCAGGGGGTGGAGTCTGACACACGCACCCAATCAGCGATGAGCCGCCCCTGCCCGCAGGACACGCCCCCCTGATCTTAAAGCCGGGGAAGCCTTTTCCTCCCGACAGCCTCGGGAACCCGGCGCCCATCAGCGCCTGCGCAGTCCCCAGGCCCCGCCTCCTCACCACTCTTGGCCGGGGTTTCCCGCTGCCAACATGGCGGCTCCCTGTGTGTCCTGCGGCAGAGCATTTTCCTACCGGCTCTTTCTCGCGGGTAGAGTTAGCCTCGCTCGGAGGCACGGCCTCTGGAAAACTGCGGCATCTGAGTTGCAGATAGGTACTGGATCCCAGGTAAGGCCCAAGAGAACTGGAAGCGGAGGTCTCTGTAGCGACAGGACGTGAAGCTGGCGCCGCCACCTTCCCTCTGGGTCTGTTGTGCCCTCAGGCGGAGACCCTAGAGTCTTAGTAGAGGTCTGAGGTTGGGGGTGAGGAGGTGGGTGCAGAAACACTGACGCAACAGGGGAAAAGAAGTCTTGTTGTTAAGCTATTTTGGGGTTCTTAGTTGCGACCCTTATTAGCATGCTTCCTCCGGTATACCAATCTTGTGGTATGCACGTTTCATAGTAACACCTAGATACAACTGCAAATATCTGTCCCAAATTTGGGGAAGAGGAGGCAGTCTTACTCGTAAATGGCCAAACTTTTAAGATTGGATTGTATGTGTATTTGTGGATATCAAGGATCTTGAGTGTACTGTGAGATTTACAGAGGTAAATACAGAAGAACACAGAAATGCTATGCCTACTTCAGGCTAGAGTGGTAGAGGCTAGAGTGATTATCTTGGGCAGCTTCCCAGAGAAGGTGATAGTAAAGTGCAGTTTTCAGCAGCAGTTAGAAGTCATATGAAAAAGGAGAGGTATTCTGTTCTTGGAAGGTGTAATAAGTGTATAAAGATATAGAGATGTGGATTAAAAGTGAGTAACAAGCAACAAGAAATTGATTATTACCGGTAGCATATAGCTTTGTTGAGAGAATGGTGAAAGACAGGCAGGGGTCAGAGTATGGTCTGTTTTGCTGTGCTAAGGTAGTTGAATTTTTTTTTTACCTGTCACAAATGAAAATAGTGTTGACATTATAAGCAGTTAACAGTTTGCTTCCATGATGTACTACAAAGGTTACCCATGAATTCGTAAATCCTCTGTCAATACAACTTAATATAGGCATACCAGTTTTGCTTTCTATAATATTTATGATTTTAATAATAAGGAAAAATAGACCAGCTGCTATTTTGAAAAATATTACTATAAAATATTGATAAGATGTCTTAAATTTACTTTTCACTAAGCACTTTTTTAGTGCTTAAGTGTTCAGTTTTTACTGAACTAGTATCCCCTTGTTGATATGGACTATCTGATGACTGCTATCATTTAACATTTAATAGCCTAACCTATTTATTTATTTATTTGTTTTGAGACAGCGTCTCGCTCTGTTGCCTGGGCTAAAGTGTCATCGCGTCAGCCTAGCTCACAGCAACCTCAAACTCCTGGGCTCAAGCGATCCTTCTGCCTCAGCCTCCCGAGAAGCTGGGACTAAAGGCATGTGCCACCATGCCTGGCTAATTTTTTCTATATATTTTTAGTTGGCCAATTAATTTTTTTCTATTTTTAGTAGAGACGGGGTCTGTCTCTTACTCAGGCTGGTTTCGAACTCCAGATCTTGAGCGATCCTTGGCCTCCCAGAATGCTAGGATTACAGGTGTGAGAGCCACCACGCCTGGTGTAACTTACATGTTTTGCTTCCACTGTAAACACGTTCCCATCTCTATCTAAAGTATCTGTTCTTTTTATCTCTCTTCGACTCCTGGAGGTCATAATATATTTATCACAGCATTCCATTGGTCTACAGTAGGGTCTTAATAAATTTGATTGGTAAATGGCTAAAACCACTTTGAAAAACAAATTTTAAAATTGACTTGCATTTGTATCAGATGCTCTGTAAATTAGTTATGCACCCCAATAATTTTTGAATGTATGTTTTAATCTCAGTTTATTAGCAATGGAAAAGAAAACCTCTTTGGTAGGATATGTTGTTCCCTTTGAGAGCTCACCCTGTCCTTTAAGGATAGAATTTAGTGTGTTCCTCATTGCTTTAATTATGGAAAATAATCTCTACATTAAAATTTGTGTTTCCTTATCAAGCAATTTAAAATTTCTTATGTAAAGATAACTTGATAATAGATGCTACCATCATTCCAACCTGTTTTCCTTGTTTTACAAGATAAGTAAACTTTCTTATACTATGCTTCATATGCTATGCTTCATTGTGGTAATTAGGATGATGAATGTATTAGTTATTTATTGCTGCATAACAAATTACCCCCAAATAACAGACATTTGTTATCTCACAATTTTTGTGAGTCAGGGTCCCAGGCATACCTTGCCTGGGTGCTTTTGCTCAGGATCTCATAAAGCAGCAGTCCAGGTGTTGGCTGGAGTTACAGTCATCTCAGGGGTGTGTGGGCGAGGGGCACATCCACTTCCAAGCTCACTCTGTGCTGTAAGGATTTAGACCTTCACAGGCCATTGGGCTGAGGGCCCAGTTCTTTGCTGGCTGTTGGCTATAGCCCTCCCTCAGCACCTCCTGCCAGTGGGCCTCTCTGTAGGGAAGCTAATTAGGCTTCCCATAGGCTGATCAAGAGAGGGTGAGCAAGAGGGAAGTCAGAGTCTTTTTGTAATCTAATCTCAGAAGTGATCACTGGGATCTATCTTAGAAGTTGCCTGCAATAGTGCAAAACCCACATATACTTCTTTTTTTATCTAAGTGCCTCACGTATTTAGGTCCTTCCCCTACAGTTGGTTTGTAAGCCTCTTGCAGAGAAAAATAATGTAACCTTCGTTATCCTTGCTGTGATGCCTGGCACAGTGTCTGCAGATAGTTCATAGACACTATTTGTTTTTTGAATGAAACATGTGAAGAGTTCTTATATAGGCGTGTGTGGGTGCATACATGTGTGCACATATGTGTACAAATGAACATCTGATGTGTTATTCTTTTTGTCAAATAGAATTAGTACCTTGAAGAAAACTACACCTTTACCATGTTTTGTTTCCTTATTCCATTATTGCAACATTCTCATTTTAATATCACTCAATTCTGCTTAACAATTATTTCTGTTAAAATTTAGTGCAGAGCCTGGCCCATAATAGTTGCTGAAATTTGTTAAATGAACTTGTATAATAATTTACTTTTTAGCATTTTATTATAGAAAAATCAAGCTTATACAAAAATAGGATAATATAATGAACTCCGTAGATCTGTCAACTGGCTTCAGCAATTATGAATGTTTTGCCAATCTTGTTTCATTTCTCTTTCCCCACTATCCTCAAGAGTCATTTAATGTAAATCTCAGACATTCTGCTATTTTACTTACAGATACTTGAATATGCATCTCTAACAGATAAAGATTTTTTAAAAGAATTAGCTTCCGTGCCACTACCATATCTAACAGAATGAGCAATAATTTCTTAATATCATCTATTACCTATTCCATGTTCAAATTTCCCTCATTGTCCACTAACTTTTTATAGTTGGTTTGTTTTCATCAAGCTTGAAACAAGGTCCATGCATTTTAATTGATTTGGTAAATACATTAGGTCTCTTAATTTCTGGCAGATTGTGGAATGATTATAAATAGTGAATTTTGTTTAAATAATATGGTGGATTTTCTTGTTTGTTTAACCTAGCATCCATTTCCCCTTCATAGCAGCACCCCAGTTTCCTCAGGAAGAATTAGTTCTTTACCAGAAGACCTAGTTATAGTCTAGAATAATCTGGGGCACTTAACCCAAGGTATCCCTATCAGATGTTTCTTCCCCTGGGATCTTGAGCACAGAGACAAGGCTATTAAAATACCATTTTAAGTGGCCACATTCTGATTGAACCTGCTATGGGTCTCTGGAATCCCTGCCTTTTAGTTGCCAGAGAATAGCCTGCTAAGTAGTGTCCCTTTTGCTCAAGTAAACCAGTTTCTTTTGCTTGCATCTAGAGACCTCTAATTGATAGAAATATAAACTATTCAGTAAGGTTACTGTAATCATCTTCTTGGGAGTCCTTAAGTTGTTTCTATTCACATTTCTCTAATCTGACTTCAGTCTTTACCCTTTTTTATTCCTCAAATTATTATTTTTTTGCTTTTTCTATTCAAATTAGCATATTCATCTTTGTCCCATTTTTATCCAATTAAACTAAAAGGAAACTCCCTAATACTGCTATAATACAACTAAGGTAGTGTGTACACTGGCATTTGGCTAAATTTGGGAAATCACTGCTCTGTCAGAATTGGCAGCCAGCTTGATTGAAACTAGAGTTGTCTGACCTACTGACTCCCTTTAAAAAGAAACAAATCTGTCAAGTTATATCTATACTATTTTGTAAACACAAAGTCTGAGGAAAATTCTCTCCTCATAGCTTTTCAGTTGGAAATGGAACCTATAGAAAATTGTGTTGCAAATTGTTCTTACCAGTAGCAAAATTAATTTTCTCCAGGAATTCTTAGTTGTTTTTAGCTAAAGATCTGGTTTTCTCACACTCTTAGCCTCACCTTACTTAATGGATGGTACAACTGAATAGTGGACTCCATTGAATGTAAATATTTTTGTGTGGATTTATTTCTGGAATATGCTGTGATAACTTTGTAAATTCAATAAATGTTATGAATTTCCAGAATGTCATATTCTTAAGCAATGTGTAGAAATGTCTTTGAAAAAGATCCTAAAGAGATTTTATGAAAAATAGCAAATTAAGGACATTTTTAAAAGCCCTTTCTAAATGAACAACAATAAAAATGTTTATAAATATGTTTAAACTACAATTATGTTTAAACTAGGAAGGAAAGCTGCCACCTCATGTCACAAACTCTGGAGATAAAGACAGATACAAAACTTTAAATCAAGTGAAGAAATGAGTCTTCAAGCTAATAATCATGTCTTTTGCTTGAGAAGATGCTAAAATGTTATAGGAACAATGTGGAAGAAATAGATTAAAAAATACAAAGGGATATTTACTCAACAAAATGGAAGAATTATGTTTACCACAACTACTTCACACTATCATGGACATTTAAAAAAAAATGGTTGGGCCAGTGGTGGTGATTCACGCCTCTAATCCTCTGGGAGGCGGAGGCGGGAGGATCGCTCGAGGTCAGGAGTTCGAAAGCACCCTGAGCAAGAGTGAGACCCCATCTCTACTAAAAATAGAAAGAAATTAATTGGCCAACTAAAAATATATAGAAAAAATTAGCCAGGCATGGTGGCACATGCCTGTAGTCCCAGCTAGTTAGGAGGCTGAGGCAGGAGGATCGCTTGAGCCCATGAGTTTGAGGTTGCTATGAGCTAGGCTGATGCCATGGCACCCTAGCCCAGGCAACAGAGTAATACTCTGTCTCAAAAAAAAAAAATGGTTGGATGAGGGTAGATCTTTAAGAAAAGATAAGATGATAAGATTAAAAGAAACTATTGAGGCAAGAATTTTTAAGATAGACCAGTGATACAAAAAGTGAAAAATTCAGAGTGGCTGCAGTAATCAAAATTGACATTGTAGAAAGAGGAAAATAAAACCATGGAGTAAAGATTTAAAAATCATATAGAATGCAGAAACAAGGACTAAGACGAAGAGAAGCTAATGTATACTGTAGAGAACAGATAATTGCCGTGACTGATGAAGGGATCAGAATAACTATTTCTGAAGTTGATAGGAGAAATACATTTAAACATTTTATTCAGAAACATATAATTAGTCACTAGTAAAATAAGAGCAGGCTGTATACTGTCTAAATTGCCAGAGTTAAAGATAAATTTTATAAAGATGAAACAAAACTTCCATATAGCAAAAGAAAGGAGATAGGAAGGAAGAATAAAAAATATAAAGATAAGATGACTTATAAGACAGATTAACAACCAAAACCTGTGTAAATGGGGTAATCTCATCTATTAAAAACTCAAATTGAGTAAAAAAAAAAAAAACCCACCTAACCTAAAATAGCCTAAAATTTAAATGAAAAAGATGGACAGTAATATTCCAGGGAAATGTAAATAGAAGGTTGAAAGCATTGTAATATTATGATCCAACAGAATTGAATTCAAGATAGAAGTATTATATGGAAATGGAAAACTTTATAATGCTGAAGGGTACAATCTGCCATTAAAACATAACTCTCTGGAACTAAATAGTGCATTGACTATACAACTGAAACATACAAAGGAAATCTATAGGAAAAGAAAAGATAATTGATGAGGAATATATTATGGATATTGTATAAATGTGGATTCTCCTGGCTTACATCCAGTATGAATGGATACTTAAAATTTTTGTCTAATTTTTTTCTTTTAGTATTTCTGACTAGACTTTACAACCATTGTATCCTTTCTGTTTGCATATGAAGTATTGGGTCCATCAAACTTTGCTCTCAGCAAACCATCTCATCTCTTATTTCACAAAGAAAATAGTGGCCAGAAGACATAAGTTGCCTTGACTTTCTGCCTGCTCTCCCTCATCTATGAACTGTTTCTTTCCATAGTAGAAGAGATACTTGTCATACTAACACTAATGCTTGCCATCTCCCTTGCTGCTCTAGCGGTGTCAACATCTCATCTCATGCGGATTATTAACAGACCTTTCTCTCAAGCTCAGGTCTTCCTGTACACACAACCCAAAGCCATCTGCTTCCTGTACTTCTGTATCCAGGATGTCCATCAAACATTTCAAACTCATCATTCCCTAAACTGAGCTGACCACTTTCCTCCTGCCCTTGCTCTTCCTCTAGAATTCCTTACTTCAATAAATGGAGCCCATTCACTAGGAAGCACATTTCTCCTTTGAGGGCTGTGGGTGGTGATTGGTGGGAAGTGTAGTGGTAGTTAACCTAAAAGAATATCTTCAAGATTTTGTTTGAATTGTGGGCTTACCTGTATTCTGATTCTTTTTGGCTGTGGCCAAAAACATTTTGTCATTTTTATTTACAAAACTAGCCATGTCATCCTTTTGGTAATGTAACATTTGGGAGAATTCCCTCTACTTTATGACTGCTACTTTTGGGCCCCAAATTTATGCCTTTGCAATCATTTGAGGGTGAGAAAGTCATTTTGTCTTCACTTTGAATATGGGAAGCAGCATTCTCCATTGCTCAAAGAAGACACAGAATCGTAAAAACAAATTTAGGCTGGGTACAGTGGCTGATGCCTATAATCCCAGTACTTTGGGAGGCCAAAGTGGGAGGATCACTTGAGGCCAGTAGTTTGAGACCAGCCTGAGCAACATAGTGAGGCTCTGTCTCTACAAAAAAATTTGAAAACATTAGCCAGGCGTGGTGGTGCATGCCTGTAGTCCTAGCTACTCAGGAGGCTGAGGTGGGAAGATTGCTTGAACCCAGGAGTTTGAGGCTGTGGTGGAACCTTGACGACACACTGCCTGGGCTGCAGAGTAAGATCCCACCTCTAGAAAAAAGTTAAAAACCCTGAAAAACAATAAAAAACATAAGGGTAAAACTGCTATGGTGGGGAGTTGGCGGTGCTTGTCTATGGGTAGAAGGAGCAGAGGAATGAAAACAGGCTGTGTCTATAAAAGAGAAGAGTACACATAAGCAAGTTGCAATCATGGTTTTACTCATTGCCAATAACACTATCTTTACAAAGCATTGTAAGAAAATGTAATTGTTGATTAAGAATATATTTTAAAAGGAGAAGCTCCTTTTCCCTCTTGAGGAAAACTAGACTGTAAAGTTTCAAAGAATTTTAAATAGCCCTTTCTTACTCATTAAAGAATAAGGAGAAACTATTCACTATTTTAATTTGGAAGAGTTTAAGAACATAATTTTGACCATTAATTGGGTACTGTAATATTTCTTCTTATATTTTCTATTGTAACTATAGTAACAAGTTATTCTTTAGAGTCATCTGAATTTAGGATTCTGAGACGTACTGGTGGATGGTGTATGTGTGAGAGAGATTTTTATGTTTATTCAAAGGGAAATAAGTGGATTACTGAGATTGTAGCTTTAAAGTCTGAATATTGCTTTAAGAATGTCTAGAATTGCTGGGGCAGGGATGAAGGTTGAGAACCACAGATTTAAGACCTTAAGAAAAGCCAAGACCAGAAAGATCTGTTCTAGTTATATTTAGCTATGGAATATAGCTAAATGTCATTTGAAAACATTTTTCTGGTTCTTTAGCACATTTTATTGAAGGTGAAAAATTATTGCCTTGGAGGGAAATTCCTAATGCCACAGCATAAAAGGACCAGCAGCAATAAGTGTTGATATAATTACTGACACTTAAGATATGAAAGCCTTTATTTTTAGTTAGTATGTTGAACCAAATTAATAATAAATAATAATAAATCTCAGTGTTTAGTGAAACAATTTTTTATTTTATCAGTTTAATGTAAGACCATGGAATAACGTCTCAAGCTAAGCTAAACCTTTAAGATGTTTAAAAATAGGCTGTGTTTTTACCCTCAAACAAGGTGCATACCGAAATATAAGCCCATTTTCTCCCAGGTCTACTGCTTGCTAATTTGTGGCTGCAGGTGCATTTGCTTCTTTTTAAAGGAATGGCATTTTACCCTTTATTCCACATGTCAACTCACTGACACAACTCACTGACATTGACCCATCAGTATCAAATGGATATTTCTAATAGGTAAGGTGGTAGCATACTACCTACAGGTATTTTGGTTTTAATGTGTTGAAATGCTAGTAGTTTAATCTGCTTTGTAACCAAGCTTTTGAGCAGGGGACAAATTCTTAACAACTTTCTTAACTGGCCCTTGACTGTGTTTCTGGACTCCTGTCAACCAAGTACCACAATAAAAAAGACAACTACTTGAATATCCTGTTTTATTTAGAGACAATGGCCTGTAAGACCAATGTTTAATTTAAAATGTCTTCTTTTGTTTCCATTTATATTTTCTGTTAGATATTAAGGCTAAGACACGTGGCAGTTGTAAACACAACAAAGAAAAATGTTGGAGTCTCAAGACGTGAAACTTACTCAGAGGATTTTATTAAAAAGCAGATTGAAGAGTTCAACTTAGGAAAGAGACATTTAGCCAACATGATGGGAGAAGACCCAGAAACTTTTACCCAAGAGGATATTGATGTAAGTAAAGTTACTCTTGTAAAATTAATTGCTGTAGAGTTTTAGGTATTGAAAGGACTTTTCTTCAGTGTGAGCCCCTTAGCACTGTGTAAGCTTTAATCAAACTGTCAGAATAAGGAAAATGTTACTATACGTTGCAAGTTGGAGCCCTGGTTTCAAGTAGAGATTCAACCGTAGTAGAAGTACTACAAAGCATGGTGAATTTTTTATTTTAACTAGAAATGGTTACTTTTTGGGATTCAGGGTCATAGGAGCTGCTGTGAATGCCTATACTGTATTTGGAAACATTTATTCTGTTGTGTAGTCTTAGACTCAGCTTTCTAACAAAATGATAAAACAGATGGTAATAGAAATAGTCCAGTTTATAGGAAATCTTGTAAATAGACCTTGGCCTAGTGTTTTCATCAACTTAAATTTATATTTGAATTTTCAAAAATGAGAGCATGTTCTAGGTGACTTGAGACTTAGGATCAGAATTTTGTTGCTGTTCCACTCTTCAATTATATTTCTGATAAAAGTAATAATGGAATAATGGTCAGTAATACTTTTGTTTTGTTTTGTTTTTTGAGACAGAATCTCGCTTTGTTGCCCAGGCTACAGGGAGTGCCGTGGCGTCAGCCTAGCTCACAGCATTCTCAAACTCCTGGGCTTAAGCAATCCTGCTGCCTCAGCCTCCCGAGTAGCTGTGACTACAGGCATGCACCACCACGCCTGGCTAATTTTTTCTATATATATTAGTTGGCCAGTTAATTTCTTTGTATTTTTAGTAGAGATGGGGGTCTCGCTCTTGCTCAGGCTGGTTTCGAACTACTGACCTCGAGCAATCTGCCTGCCTCGGCCTCCCAGAGTGCTGTGATTACAGGCGTGAGCCACCGCGCCCAGCCATGGTCAATATGCCTCCAGGTAGCTAGTAAAGGAACTTAAATTTAACAACTTGGAAGCTTGTCCTAAGTTTTTAAAAGTAATATCTAGCATCCCATGACATTTTATATTTAACTGAAGAATAGTATCTTCATGTATAATAGCTTTAACATTTTTATATGATTTTAATTATATTATTTTTAATCATTTTATGCATTTTAGTTTAATTCCCATCTTTTTGTGTATCTTTCAATAGGAAAGTAAATATAAATAGTATAAACGGTACTGAATTATCATTTTAAGGTCCCAGACGAACGTTTTTGTCTCAACCAGAAGGATTTCTTATTGCCCCCTCTATGTTAGGTGATTTAGAGTTATGGACATTGTAGCTGCTGTTCTCTTTTTGAATCTTATGGTAATATGGACAGTATTGGGGGATATTTAAAAAATCTGGATTTTCATGAGACTTTAATTATGTTTTCTTTTAAGAGTTTTATGGTTTTAACTCGTTAAAGTCTTTGATCCATTTTGAGAAAATTTTTGTATACGATGTGAAATAGTAGTACAGCTTCATTCTTTTACATATGGACATTTATTTGTCCAAGCATTATGTATTGGAAAGACTACTGTTTTTCCATTGAATCCTTTTGTCATTGAATCCTTACCAAAAATCAGTTGACTGTAAAAGTGAGGGGTTATTTCTGGACTCTCAATTTTATCCTATTATGTTTATCTTTCTGCCAGTATCACTCTGTCTTGATTATTGTACCTTTTGTAGTAAATTTTGAAATTGAGAAGTACATGTACTCCTATTTGTTCATTCATTCTGAGATCATTTTGGCTATTCAGTGCTCCATAAATTTCCATATGAAATTTTAGGATTGGCTTGTCAATTTCTGCAAAGAACCAGCCAGGATTTTGATAGGGATTGTGCTGAATCTCTAGATCAATTTTAGAAGTATTTCCATCTTAAATGGTAAGTCTTCTAGTTTCTGAACATGGGGTGTTCTATTTAGATCTTCTTTAATTTCTCTTAGTGATGTTTTCTGGTTTTCAGAGGCTAAGTTTGCCACTTTTGTTAAATTTACTCCTAAGCATTAATTTTTTTAAAAAAAATTCTCTTGTAAATAGAATTATTTTCTTAGTTTTATTTTAGGATTTTTTATTGCAAGTGCATACAATTGATTTTTGCCTATATCTCTGTATGTTGATTTTGAATCTTTAACCTTGCTGAACTCATTACTAATCCTCATAGTTTTTTAGTGGATTCCTTGGTATTTTCTATATATAGGGTATTGTCACCTGCAAATAGTTTCAAATAAAATAGTTTTAATTTTTTTTTTCCAATCTGGATACCTTTTACTTCTTTTTCTTACCTAAATGCTCTGGCTGGAACCTCCAACAATGTTGAGTAGAAATGGCAAAAGTGGATATCCTCACCTTGTTTTTGATTATAGGGGAGAGCATTCAGTCTTTAACCATTAAATGTGATGCCATGGGTTTTGTAGATGCTCTACCAGGTTCAGTAAATACCTTTACGTACCTGGTTTGTTGAACTTTTTTGTTGTTTTTGTTGTTGATGTTTTTATCATAGAAGAGTGTTGGATATTGTCAAATGCTTTTTCTGCTTTTTGATGATCGTGTGGTTTTTGTTTTTTATTCTGTTTGTATGGTGTATTACATTAATTGATTTTGGATATTAAACCAACCTTGTGTTCATGAGATAAATCCCACTTCATCAGTATGTATAATCCTTTTTATATCTTTCTGGGTTTGCTTTGCTAGCATTTTGTTGAGGACTTTTATCTCTAATTGATAATTGGTTTATAGGTTTCTTATAATATCTGTCTGATTTTGATACAAGAGTAATAATGCTTCATAGAATGAGTTGGGAAGTGTCTTTCTTCTGTTTTTGGAAGAGTTTGTGAAGAATTCATATTAATTATTCTTTAAGTGTTTGATTGTGAAGCCATCTGAGCCTGTGTTTTTCTTTGTGCATAGTTTTTTATTGTTTGCTTTTAAAAATGATCCTCTTGTCTCTCCTTGTGGCCTGTGTGTTCTTGAGTAACTGTTCTCAGCAGGAGGCTCTCACTACTCAACTGAGTTTACCACTGAGGTGTTTTTGAGCAGCTCTTAACTAGCTTTTTGAATGTACATGGGGCATACTTAGCTTATTGAGAGAAGCGGAATCATTCAACAGTTTTGTAATTCTGTCTGAAGGGATAAGCATTTTCACACAGTATTAAAAATGAATTATGTTGTTTGGAGTGCTTAGTTCATTGCTTGGATGTTTACTCAGAATATTTGGGATGTTAAAATTATTTTCATGAGGATTTAATTTATACAGAGTAGACATGTCCTATAATTTAATTCGATTACTGAGGTAAAATTCTATGCTTAGTCTAATTTTTACATAGATAAATTAGGCACCATTATATTCAGATTAAACCATTAGTTATTTTATATAGTTTAGAAACTAGTTTTTCCATACTAGTTATCCACTTGCTGAAATAATAATAGCCAAAACCATTGTGAAGTACATTTAAGCGAAAATATTTAAGATTTAAAACAATTCTTTTAAAAAATTTTGTCAATGTTTACAAAAGACACACATTGGTGACAGCCTTAATATTATTTAGAGACATCTAAAAGGATCCTCTAGCTTAGTAAATACATTGTCATTCAATCAGGTAAAAACAAATTTTTAACAATATATTTAGTTCTGGCTCTCAAAATACAGAATTATTTTCCACAGAAAAGACATTTAACCTCACTATGTAAACGTGAGCTATGGCTGTACTGTTATAACTGTATCTTAAAACTGTATGTATGTATATGGCAAAAGTATGTTTGCATATGGTAAAAGTAACTTGATGCCATTTTATGTGGTTGTGCAAACAGAATATTGCAAAAATCTGCCTTAGATTTAGCCAATTAAGTAATGAAATCATGAATTAATATAAAAAAACATCAAATTGCTTCTTTAAAATATCTTCTTCTAAAATGAAGTAGAATATCTTCTGTTGAGAAATGCCTAATGTGAAGAACCTTATTATTGCATTGATTCTTTTCTTTTAATAAATTCCTTATAGTTGAAATGATGTTTTAGAAAGATGCAGGACCTGGGATTAGATTTCCTTGCAGTGTCACTAACATTGTAATGTTGAGCAAGTCACACTTCTGTCACTTGATTTTCTTATGTCTTAAATAATAATACCTGCTCACCTATCTCAGAATACAGCTAAGAAGCATGTGATTAATGCTATGTGTTATTCTCATTACTATTAACAGTAGTAAATACAATCTACCATAACTGGAATCATTCCCTAGTTCTCTAATTTACTTTGTCACGCAAATCTTCCATGCCACCTGAGACTAAATGTTGGGCAGAATCATCTGAAATAGTATTGAGTACATTGATTTATCACTGATTGATTTAAAGGAAAGATAGCCTTATCTCCTGTAGGTATATTGTTTCATCTCGCTCGGTTTCTAAAAGCTCATGTGGAAGTAAGCGTTAACCATTTTCCTTGACACCAGTGACTTAATTCTGCTGCACTAGACTTTGCTGCAAATGATTGATCGGCTTCAGTGAGTCTCACATTTTATATCAATTAACTCTTTTGGCACTTTATTAAATCTAGTGGACCTTCTTTGGCATTGCATTTTATTAAATTTGGCGGACTCCCTTTGGCAGTTGAATAGATATAAAAACAAAAGAGGATAGTGACAACTAACTGTTACCAAAGAATTAAAATTATATGCCCGTACAGTTCCTGTTTTCATTTATGTTTTTAAAACTATTGTTATTTAAAAAGGTTCAGCAGGGTATATAAACTGAAAAAGAGACAGTATGGCTGATGAGTCAGTATTTCCATGCTGAAAAATGCTTAGTTATTTCTAAAGACAAAAATAAATAACTCATCCAAAATCAAGAAAATATTTTAAGCTTCTGTTGCAATTGCTGTTATATATTTAGAAGTCATAATGCTTTTTAATGTGCTTGGCTTTTAATATATAAATTAAAAGTAGATACAGTAGCTTCTCTCTTATTTAATAGATCAGGAAATATGATATTCCACAAAAGTGAATTTTCCAGATAAGGGAAACCTATTTTTAAGTGTTATTTGTAAGAAAAC